ATACTACATAGTCTTAAACCTTAATTCTGATTCTACAGTTGTAGTCTTGAGCTTTATTTAAGATTATACTATATAGTTTTAAGCCTTAATTCCAATTCAATAATTGTATTCTTGAGCTTTATTTGAATTTAACATGTCTTGAGCTTTATTTAAGATTATACTATATAGTCTTAAGCCTTAATTCCAATTCAACAGTTGTATTCTTGAACTTTATTTGAATTTAACATGTGTAGTCTTGAGCTTTATTTAAATTAACCCAAGTTAACTTATATAGTCAAAAATAATTTGGGATGCCAAAAATAATTTGAGATGTCAAAAATAATTTGGAATGTCAAAAATAATTTGTGATGTCAAAAATAATTTGTGATACCAATAATTTGGGATGTCAAAAATAATTTGGGATGCCAAAAATAATTTGGATTTGGAATTTGGAATTGGAATTTGGAATTTGGGATTTGGGATTTAGTAATTTGAATTTAGGTGACACCTATAATTGACAGTATCATCATATTCAGATAATAGTTTAGCCCATTTTTCCTTAAAAATTGATTCTACGCAGCTATTTAGTGATACTTAGTTTTTGGCCAAGAACTGTTTACCGTCATAACCATCGCTAGATCAGAATCTGTATAGAGCAAATATGGCATTAATTCACCTATTGCATTGAGAAGGCTTTGAAATAACCATTCAAAGCTATCCTTAGTTTCATCCGAAAGAATGGCCATTGCTATAAGATGAGAGTGATTGTAGTTGTCTACAATAATTATAACACATAAAATCGTTAGTTTTGCAGTTGTATCAAGAAGAATGATGTCATAGAAACGTGACCACAATACTTGTTGACTTGAGCACATTCAACAGAGCTGAATAAGATGATTATCTTGGCTTTCGAATTGCGCATCAACATGAAAAACTGAATTTTCATACTGCTGTTTCATGAGATCAAGATACATTGAACCAATGTCACTTTTAACATGGTTTTTTTCGTGGTGAATAGAATTAATCAAATTATAAACATTACGATCATGGATATATTTTTCTGAATTTTTGTATTGCAAAACTTTAATAATTACACCAGGGCATACACCACATGCAGTGAGCAACTGAACATCATCATATATTTCTGGGATAAATCTTCAATAACTGAATGTGAGAGCAGAAATATTTTCTACAAGTTCATATTTGTGTTGGTTTTTGACTTTTGTTATATAAACTAGACTGTCATTCTTCCAATAGTAAGCGTTAACATGAAATTTGCAGTTGGTAGAGTTATGTCCTTTATTACAATTTTTTTTTATATGTGCTTCTTTTCTGGGTACATACTTCTGATCTTGTGAGTATGTATAAATACGTCATCTGAATAATCCATCTTCCTTATCCTTTTCATTATGAGTTATTGTAAATGCAAAGCCTTGTTCTAATCTATGATTTTTAATCCATCTTGAAATAAAAAGAATTTTAGGTTAGTTTAGTTTAGTTTAAGACTATAATATTTCCAGGTACTACATGCTTATTGAGTTTTGTTCAATTATCAAATGGCATCTCTGGTATTATCAGGTAAAGTGATATATATCTCCAGGCACTACATACTTATCAAGTTTTGTCCAATTATCAAATGGCATCTCTGGTGTTATCAGGTAAAGTGATATATTATCATCTTTAAAAAACTCATTATCATTTTCAAAAAGTTTGTAATCTTCAAAAAACTCTTTAGGTAGAATATCTTCAGGATTTTCAGTTAAGATGAGGTTATTGATACTATTATGATGTTCAAATGGCTCTGACAACACTTCATTCGCTTCATCTAATGATACCTCAAAGAGATTATTATTACTGTCTTCAGAAGAAAAAGCAACTTGAGAGAAATTGTAGGAAACTGAAAGAACTGCAGTGTTATGCATGACGTAGCGTAAAAAGTATAAAAATATAACGTGTCTAAACTAAATAAATAAAAGTGGCATGACAAAAGTTGGCCAATTACATATGATCACATTGTTAATAACACGCAATAATTCGTATCTATAATTCTGACCAATCATATCAGATCACTAGACATTATGGTGTTCAGAAATTATTAAAGTAATATTAAAAACAGTATGACGATAAACTGTACAGTACAAAAAGCTATTTTATACTGTACGATTTTACATAAATTTTGTACAAAAATCATACAATACCTATAAAATTCGTACAATACAGTACAGCCCTT